CTCCATGCTCAGGCAACAGACTGTTTCTTTTGGGTTAAAATATGTTTCCCATTGTGTTGAACAGAAGTTCACTCTTAACGGAGGTGCGCACAATATTTTCATTGAGAACCTTGTCAAATCCCACTTATTAGTGTCTTTATAGGAACTGGTGTAATTGTAAACACCCCACCACTTATTCGTTATTCATCCGGACATTTATTTTTTGGTAATGTTGATAGGCTAAAGTAGAAGTTGACTTCCATATGTTGAATCAAAGCTATGAATCAATTTAAAATTTAAACTTATATTTTAAGTTTTTAATCAAGTAAGGAAAAAAGAATACCCTTATCCAACTTAGAAATACTAAAGAATACTAAAGAATAAACATTTATAGTTGATAAATAATTATGTTGTGCATTGAAAATTTAAAATATTAAATGCAACCAGACCTGTAACTACAGGAAGACACGGCCTGTGTATAGCTTGTGTCTTTCTATAATATAAATATAACATAATTTTGTCTACAGGCAATTCTGGTGTGCAAATAAACTAGTAAATAAATTTCTAGTAACAGGGTTGAATGCAATAAAATAGTTAATTGTTAATAAAGTTAACATTAATTTTTAATTAAATTTGTAACAAAATTAAAAAATACCAATTTTATTTAGATATATTTTATTCGTACCATTTTCCTTTTAAATTTTGAGTTTTTCCTCTAGTGTAGGTTGTTTTCCTATTTACTATTATACTTTTTTCTCCCTCCATCAGTGTTTTCATATTTCTGTGAAGCATTTTCATTTATACACACTTGGTCTAAAAAGCTGTATTTTTGTTATTATTATTTTTTTATTATTATTTTTTTTTTTTTTTACGTCAATATAAAGCTGTATATGCTCATTTTTGTTTTTTATGCATATTTTTTTTTTTTTATTTGACCATCATGATCAGAGTCTTCACCAAAAACAACTTTTTTTGCTTGTTGTAAATGATCATTTACTACAAGCAAGCAAATTTTATATTTTAAATTATATATAAGAGTACTACCGCTATCATTTAGAGTATCGATTCTCTAAATAAAAGCGATAGCAGCCTTAATATAAATATTCTTTAAGCATACTAAGGTCTGTTTCTTTAAAAAATTTCATTTTAAACGGGGTTTGAGCACCATTGATTTTTTCAGACAAACATTATCTTTGTATTAATGAAAATGACTTTTAAATCTTTTAAGTTCATCAACAGTTTTGATTCCAGTTGATTTGTCCCAAGCATAGTCAAGAAACGGTATGATCTCTGATGTGTCTGCATTCTTACCTTTTGTCGCGCTTTTAAAGTGTTTTAGTATGCATACAATTATTTCAGCATGCTGCCATTGATTTTCTGTAGGTTATCTGCCTCTTTAATTATAAAACCATGAATTAATCATATTTTTGAGGGGTGATAAGAAATAAATTTTTTAGCGTACGTTTTAAGCGCAAAAAAACTAAATACAAATTATAGTGAAAATAGCTTTCAGTAAATACAACAACGGAATAAAATTATACATAGAACTTAAATTAAATATATAAAACACCCGTTAATTTTAATAAGCAGGCAAACAAAAAAAATTAACAATATAGTTAGTTTGTGGCACGTCGCAGTTTATACTATGTATGCTGCAGCATATGTCAAGGAATCAAAGTAAAGGAACAAATTACAAATAATAGAATTGTAATGTAAAGTAATTATATTGTAAGCAATAAAATTATTTTATGTTTAATATAACAGTAGCTTATTTCCTTTAATTACCTAAATAAAATTCGCCGAAGCCAATGCTTCGGCAAAAATTGACTCTGGCTTCGGCTGAAGCTTCGGTACATCCCTAATTATAACGATTAAATTAAAATAAGTTAAGTTATAAGACAGAGAAAAAAAAATGAAAACACTCAATAATAACAGCTAACAACAATAAAAATCATTAGCAACAACAGTAGTGACGGATCCAGAAAATTTTTAGAGGTGGTGGTGGTGAAGGGGGGTTGTTGAAATACCCCCCCCCCCTCCCTTTCCCTCCTTTACTAGAATATGGTGCTCAATGTAGTTAAGGAGAGACCCAAAGAAAAATATAACTTTAAAAAATCTCGAAGCTCATTTTAATATATTATTTACAAATATTTAGTGATTTTATTATCTACGAGTTCCAATTTTTAGCTTAATACTATGGGGCACTGGTTATATAAAAGCTGAAACGTTTTTAAAAAGTTGAGCAAAGCGTTTCGTTTTGGTAATTTATTTATACGACTACAATATAGTCGTATATTTTATGTAAAATTATATCTCTATATTATAGAGATATAATTTTACATAAAATATTTTGCTCTAATCTATATACCGGTGTATGTGTATATATATATATATATATATATATATATATATATATATATATATATATATATATATATATATATATATATATATATATATATATATATATATATATATATATGGGCAATTCCGCGAGAAAGAAGAGAGAAAAAAGCAAAACAGTTATTAAAGCACATACTAAACTCTTTTTTTTTAACTATTTAAAAATACTTTTAAGTAAAAAAGTTATTTAAAAAAATCACTTTATCATACAATAGCATGGTTTTAAAGGGGTAAAGGTTGTATAAACGTGTTTTGGCGCTTATTTACAGTCTTGTTGTGTAGCATTAAAGTTTGTATCATATATTTATCATTAAAAACTTTGATAAGGTTATAGTGCGTTTTTTTAACATAATATACATGGTTGTTAATAATGGTTTATACTTTTTTTCTTACATTATTGATTATGTTGTTTTATTTGTTGTTTTTAAGCATTGAATTTTTCATTACAACTGTCACGACAAAAAAATATAAAAATACTTGTAAAACTTCTAGTAAAAAATATGAAACTCAGCATATAATAACATCAATATGTACTAAATACAAACGCCAAATGATTTTTTTTTTTTTTTTTTTTTTACCATACCGTTCGCTGCATATTACATAAAATATAATATGGTTTTTTTATATTATTATATACATGTAAAATGATTTTTTTTATCATACTGTTCGCTGCTAGTCTGATAAAGTTGTTTTGTTCAGAAGTGGTAAAAAGTAAGCTTTACGACTGTCCCGCTACGCAGAGTTAATTTTTGAAAATTGTCTTTAATGCTGTAACTTTTACATACTAAACTATATGATATTAGTTCACATTTCATTTCATATGATAGTAGCTTCAAGTCATTTTCATTTTTGGTTCATCTCAAAAAGTATTACGACCGCCACTCTCGCGGAATTGCCTATATATATATATATAAATATATAAATATATTTATATAAATATATATATATATATATATAATTTTTAAATTTATAAATATATATATATATATATATATATATATATATATTTATAATTTTTAAGTTTATGTTTATATGTTTATTTAGATTTGAAAGTCAATATTTTTAAAAAATTTTATAATATTTTTTCGAATCTTATTGAGCTGTGGACCAGATTTTTTACGCATTACTATTAAACCATCATTGCGATAAAGGCCTAAATCATTTATATTGATTATTTTACTTAATAAATCTAAAATGTATAGTCCAACAAACTCACAATAGCTCAATAAGATTCGAAAAGATATTATAAAAATATTTAAAAATATTGGCTTTCAAATCGAAATAAACATAAATTTAAAAATTGTAAACTTTCTTGATGTCACATTTAACCTCTCTGAAAATTCATATAAGCCTTTCAAAAAACCAAACGATGAATTATTGTATATTAATATTAACTCAAATCATCCACCACAAATTCTAAAACATCTCTCGATTTCAATTAATAACAGGTTAAACCAAAACTCCTCTAATGAAAAAATTTAATTCCTCCAAACGAATATTTGAAGATGCCCTTAAAAAAAGTGGTTTTGAAAATTTTGAACTAAAATTTGACCCTGAAAAAAAGAATACAAAAAAACAGAATAGAACTAGAAACATTTCCCTCCTTCTAATTAATTACATAAAATTTTTAATTGAAATACAATTAAAGTTAGCTACAGTTGCACAAAAAATATGGAAAGAATTATAAAAAGTCACAATAATGCTTTGTTAAATAAAAAAGAAACCCTAAATGAAAAAACTACAGAAAATTGTAATTGTAAACAAAAAAACAATTGTTCAATGAGTGGAAGTTGTTTATCAAAAAATGTGGTATATATATGTGTTGTTTTCTCTAAGAATGTACCCGATAAATAATATATTGGCATAACAGAGGGTGAATGGAAAAAACGTTTTGCCAATCATAAGCAGTCTTTTAAAAATAAAAAGTATTCAAAAGACACCATGCTGTCAAAATATATATGGGATCTAAAAGATAAAAATATTGATGATTTTATACTGATTTGGTCCATCCTAAAAACAGCGCCTGCATGCAACAATATTTCCAAAAAATGCATACTATATCCACAAGAAAAATTTGAAATAATTACACATGCAAACCAAGAATGTTTGTTAAACAAAAAATCGGAATTGATTTCTAAATGCAGGCACGAAAATAAGTTTCTCCTAAAAAACTATAAAAATAAGTGAGCTCAAATAATAGTTACATTAAATCCCACCTTTTTAAAAAATATTTTTATAAAAAAAAACATAAGTAATCATTTCTAAAAAATTCTTTTTATAATAGTGTCAGCAAATTCCACAAATGTGTGAAAATTTACAGTAGTTAAAACATTTGCAACTTCCTGTAATTTAATTTTTTGGTATAAATTAAAGTTTTATTAATTTGTTCATTTATTTGATGAGTCTTTGTTGATGAAACACAGTGTAAAATGAAAGAAATTTTTTGTTAAGTGATTTTCTACTAATTTATAATTGCTCTGTTCTTTTAAGAACATTGAGCACTCTATTTTGTAGAATACATTTTTAAAATTGTTTAAATATATATACATTTATATATATGTTATATATATTATGTATATAGTTTAATAAAATTCAATGTTTTTTTTTTACTCATACAGATCAACTTCATTTGGTTTACAAAGTGGAGTTGGCAGAGTAGCTGCTGTTCTTGGAAATGTAGTTTTTGGCGAAATGGTTGATCTTCATTGCTCCATTCCTTTGTTAACGGTGGCCGTAATGCTTTTCATCGGCGGTTTATCTGCCATAAAACTACAAAAAACAGAGAAAACAGCACTAAAATAATGTTGATTTTTTTATGATTTTAAAAAATTGTTTATACAATATTTATTAGCTTTTATTTTAATATATTCAAAAATTATCATGTCTTTTAACAGAAATTGTACGATCATTTATTTAGATCTCCTATAGTTTTTATGTAGATCTTCTAAAATTTGAATTCTTCTATGTGACATATTTTTATACTTTTTTCTTGGTATTTATTATATAATATAAATGAATACGAAATTATTTTTATAATTTTTGTGTGTTTTTCATAATTTAATTAAATGTCAATAAATATATGTAACAATTTACAAAGTATTATTGATTTGAAGTACGAATCCAACGAAACGCACGCCAACAGAGCCACACAAAGCTTTTGTGATATCTTCAAAAGTTTTATGGATGTTCTACAATTCTCCGAGTCTTAAAAACTACAAAGCCAACTATTTATATGTTACATTGCAAAACTCTCAATTTTAAGTTAAAAGTTTTTCTTATTTTAGGAAACTTTATTCTTATTTAAAAAAAAATTTCTTTAATTTTTAAATTTCTTTAAGTATTATCTTTAATTTTCTTAGATTAAGACAAACTGTTTTTATTCAACCAAAACGAATCAGATTTAGTCTTATGGACTACTAGGATTCTAGAGAATTTCTGTAACCTCGTATTTCTGTAATCTTGCAAAATTACCTACAGAAGGCGTTTATTGTATTTTTAAACCCTTAATGCCTCACATGCATGAAATACTCAATTGTAAAATTAATTCTCGAGAATGCAAGAAATTCTTAATTGAGTACCATACAAAAACAGAACTTTCGTGACATAGCAAAACATTTTTTAAACAGATGATTATAGACTTATATTCAGGGCCAGTGCGAGTAGGTGTCGTGTGGGGGAAGGGGTACTTTACAATTTTAGCCGACTAAAAACAACAACAACAAAAAGTCCTCGCTTTTTGAAATTTGCCGACTGCCTATTCGACATTTGCCGACTGACTGGTCTCGAAGGGTCAAATTTTTCGACAAAATATTCAGTGATGGCGGGGAGAGGGGGTGTCACACACACTTCTTCCTTCGCGCTGGCCTTACTCATATTCATGTACACAATATAATCATGTACACATCCTACACAAATGAGCATCATACCAAATAAAAAAAATGATTGAATAGTAATGGGTTTAGCTGTTTAACATGTTTGTCTACGTACTCATCATTGTTTTATTTTACAGGCACATAGTGTCGCTGAACAAGCTTTAGATTGAAAAAAATTGTACAGAAAAACTGTTAGCTTTATGTCTAGCAACTATAAAAATATATTGCATAAAATTGTAACATTCCGTCCTGATGAAATATGGCATTTTACAAAAAACAAAAAAAGACGTTTTTTAGAGTAATTTTTAAATGCTAAATTTACGTATATTGAAAAACTTTCGGTGTTTATGACTTTATTATATGTTTATTTCAAATCATTTATTGAAAACGCTGTGTTTTACGTAATTTATTTATTTAAAATTTCCTAGAATGATAGCTAATATATGAAAATATCTCATAAATAAAATAAAATCTTGCAAAGAACTTACACACCAGCTTAAATAAAATGCCAAACTATTCTCCACGTCATTCTAAAGTAAAACAAAAAGTATGCGCAATATCCTACAGAAAATCGGTAGGGGAGACCGGGGCTAGTTGGCCGCAGGGGTAAGTTGACGAATTGCGTTTATCTTTAAAGCCTTTCATCAGAAAGTGATAAAAATTACACAGAATCTTCCTAATTGACTGTTTCATCATTCAATGTAGTATTGTCAGGATTCGCGCATGCGCATGGGAGATATTAAGATTTAAGTGTTTTTTGGACAAAAACGTAACTTTTGAAACATCGCTTCCTTTTTACTTTACAAAGAAAATAGTTAGTCAAATGGAAAAAAAATTATTGTAAAAGTTCTAGCCACAATTGGTTTACTATATTCAGTTTGACTTTTTTTAAAAGTTGCCGTTTTTCAGGATCTATAGACTGTTTATTGAAAAAAAAGCCTTCGGGGTAAGTTGACAAAATTTTTACGGGGTAAGTTGGCTCATAGCATTTACTATGGAGAAAAATATTTATTTTTATAAAAATAATTTTTTTAATTTTTTTAATTTTTAACAATATTGAAAAAACTTATTCTTACAAAAAAATTATAAAAATTTTTTTTTTAGGTTTTTTGTAACAGGTAAAAAGAGGGCTGCTGTTTTGGCTGTTATACGTACTAATATTTAGCACAAGCTAAAAATAATATCAAATTATTAGCTTAAATTGTTGCCAAAATTAATAGGTAAAAAATTTCTATTAATTTTGCACTTAATAGTACATTAATAATCACGTTTATAGTTTGCGTCAACTTACCCCGTGGTGGGGTAAGTTGGCGCAATTTTTTTTTTTTTTTTGAGGGCCCCGTAAGGCCCCAAGAATTTTTTTTTGTAAATCCATGAAACTTTTATAAGTTACCCAAGTTCATACGCTTTGAGACTACACTTTAATATTTTCAAAAAAGTGTGCTATTAGGGCTACAGAGCTCATAGAGTAAAAACCGAGCCAACTAGCCCCGGTCTCCCCTAACCTTACTTAGTCCTTTTTTAGTTTACTTTACAAAAAAAAATTTTATCTTCTGAATACAAGTTCAGTGATCCAAATTTTTGCATCTGGAATTTGTTAAACATGTAAAACAGTTTTTCATCAGCATGCTCGCCCTTATACTTTCCTACTAACTATTTGGTTTCAAATTCATAAAATTGCTCTAACAGGTCTTGGAGACTGTGACTAGGAGACAAGGGTTTTGCTTGTGTCATATATGTTCGGTTGCTAAAAGAAAGAAGCCAGCATAAAACCACTAAGTTTTTACTTTTTTTGGGTGGTTGCGTCTGCCAGGAATGCAAATAAATTGTGCCATGTGCTCTGAAATAGAAAACTTTAGGTTACCTGAGAATTGATCAGTTGAATGAAAATTTTTGAATATATTATAGAAGGACTATATATTATAGAAGGACTTAGTGAGTAAGATGTTAAAGAATTAAAATATGTAAAAACAGGGTTAGATTGCAAAAAGTATTGGGATTCTATATAAAACAAGAAGCATTTTAAATAAACATACTTTAACTCAACTATATTACTCATTAATTCACTGCCATATTAACTATGCTATTATTGCCTGGGGTAGTACCAACAAAATTAAGTTAAAGTCTTTGCTTTGTCAACAGAAGCATGTAGCATGTCTTATACGTTTTAAAGATCGTTTTACTCCTGCCAGGCCTTTATTATTTAACATAAATATTCTTAATATTTACGAAGCAAATAAATTTAACGTTCTTTGTTTTGTGTTTAAATGTAAAATTAATGCATGTTAATGCATTAATCTCCTGAACATGTCCTGTTTCTTTTCATAATTTATATTTGATAATATATATATATATATATATATATATATATATATATATATATATATATATATATATATATATATATATATATATATATAATATATATATATATATATATAGGGGCAGTGGCGGACCCAGGTCATTGTCCTAGGGGGGGTAATTTAGCCGACAAAAAAATTCCGCTTTTTTTTTTTTCAGATAAACCACTTTTTATTTTGATTATTTAGAATATTTTTGGAAAAGTTTGTTACTAAATATATTGAATGTAACTGTAGCATAATCTTGAATAGTAATGTAGCGTTTTTTGAAGAATCCCGTTCATTCCACTTATATCAAATCAAGTGTTTCTACTATACTTGTTAAACAAGATTTAAAACTTAACACAGAATCATGCCGTTCAATCCATCTTGTTTTGCATAAGCTTGTAAGCATTCCCTTATTTATATATTTAAGAACGTTACTTCGCTTCGGCGAACCTTTAAAAAATGATATTACTTCTTTCATTGTGCCAATTGTATTTCTTACAGCTCGCACAGACGAACATTTAGAAACTGATAAGTTTAAAGCATGATTGTAGCATGGACTTTTTATTGCGTTTGGTAGGATCTTCTGTAATTTCGTGACTGCTCCGTTGTTTTCACTTAACATAAGGCTGCATCCATCAGTACCTATACCAATACAATCTTTTAAATTGAAGCCAAATTTTGTCAATGTGTTTGCAACAGTGTTTCCTAGCAATTCTCCTGTTAGTACAGGTTCATAAGTAAAATTAGAATAATTTTCAGTATGGCAGTTTACAAAACCAATAAAATCTTCACGGATTTCACAGGTATTAACATCAATATATCTTAATACGACTGTCATTTGAGAACTATGACTGGTATCCGTTGTTTCATCAAATATAACGCTATAAAATTTTTCTTTAAAAATTCTTGTTTTAATTAAGTCCTGAATTTGTTGAGCGCATAGTTCAATTATTTCCTTTTGAATACTTTTACTTATGTATGTTGCTTTAGAATTACCGTTATTCAAATGGTTTTTTAAAATATTGTCCCCAGCGCTCACTCGAAAGCGAAGCAATTCCCGAAGATTGCCATCATTAGTTAATGAAGAGTTTTGATTTATTTCAAAGATCTGCCCATCATCGCGATGACCTCGCAGAGCAATATTCTGTCGACCAAGAAATATTATAGATTCAATTATAGGCTTTATTCGTTCTCTATTTTCTTTAGCCTGTTTAAGTCTTCCTTCATTAACTAAATTACGTACATCTGTAGACGGACATTCGTATGTTCTGATGAAATCTGATATTGCCAACATAGCAACTTTGTAACAGCATTGCAATCATGTAATTTTAAGTCTCCATCCTTACCCAAAAGCTTTGAATAACTTTTAAGAGGTAAAGTAACTAGCTTGATTAATTGCACTTGACCGTGTATTCCCCCAACTTTTGCAAAAAGAAAGCAATACTTACAAAAAATTCCATAAAGGCATTCTGAAATCATTATCCATGGAAACTTCTGTATATGTTTCTCGGATAAAAAGCAATTAACATTCTTACCCTTCTTTAGATGCACAGAATATGGATATTTGTAATTTGGACCAGGAAACAAATTGCATTTCAATATTCGGTATTTATTTTTTTCAGTTACTTGACGTGTTAAAAATACCAATATGTCTATAGGCAAACAGCTATCATCTTTTGTCGCGGGTATTGAATCTTCTTTATTAATGTCTGCTTAGTTTTATTTGTAAAATTAGAAGCTTTCATACCAAGTCCAGTTTCTGGAGAAAAAGGATTGAGTTTCATTGTAATTTGATTATTTTCAGTCCCGCCAATAAATGCACAATTTAATCGTTCGGAAGATGACCCGGAGGATAGAGGCAAAACGATAGGA